TTCTATTACACCCCCTCCCCTCTACCACACCCACACTACCCACACACGGACATACTCAACACGCACCCCAGTTACCGCACATTCGATGAATCACTGGTCCCAGGTGTGGGATAACGTCCCACACGAGAGACATCCAGCGAGCCACCAGTCCCAGGTGTGGGATAAGTAGTTCTTAAGTAGACAAGTTCGTAGTTATCTTTTCAAGTCGTTCAATCCCTATCCTGCCACGCAAATTGCCCAAAATACTAGATAATACTAGATAAATTAAAACCTTCAACAGTTCTTACTCAAGCTATTTGCACCACTATAATATTAAGGCACAATTATAGTCCTCTTCTCTTTTACCCAACTGGCACGTCGCTGCTTCCCCAAACTTCAACAACCTGTCCACATCCATTCTTTTCTGGTGCAGTTAATCTCTACTACACACACATACCTCAGCAATTTATATATCTCTTCCTTAGTTCAACGTATGCACCAATATGTTAATATTTACAAGGAACAATATTCTGGCGTTCTGTGTGAACCACAAAGTGGTGGGCGATTGGGGTTGCCACATCCCTTCACATTAATCTAATAAATTGCGTGCCAACCTCGGAAGATATGTAGGCTAAATGTAATATTAATTGAATTGCAGTGACCCTCCACCTTGCTGATCTCATCCATACTAAATATAGGTGTATTTGCGGCAAGATGGTGGCTGACAGAAGCGGTCAGTACCGCCTGGTCTGCCGAAGCACAGGGGGACGGCACTGAGGCATAGTGGAATTAACATCATTAAGAGAAGCTTCACCACAGCTGGATGTCCAGTTGAGAGCCTCATTACCTAACGCACCGTAACTCTGATGTTCTCGTTGGTCGCCCAGATGGGATCGCGACGGACCCCTGGAATAACGGCAAGCGGTTAGTGTGGGATGACACACATGTATACCAGCCCTGGCTAACACCATCCAGGGGCTGCTACCACACATAGGGAGTCAGCCAAGTCCCGTAAATACAGAAAAGTGGATCACCACTACGACTTTTTTTTTACCCATTGCTTCCGAGACACTCGGCGCCTGGGGGTAAGAGTGCCACTAGTTTTTCGAAGGAACTGAGTTCTAAGGTAATCTGAACAAGAAGAGACTCTTGCGCTGCGAGCTCCTTCCAGCACCCCAGCGTGGCAGTACAGTGGGGGAAATACACACTGCATTCAGCTCCTTATATGGAGGCCCAGTTATTTGGACTAGACGGTAGAGCGACGGTCTCGCTTTGCGCAGGTCGGCGTTCAATACCCGACCGTCCAAGTACTTGGGCACCATTCCTTCCCCCGTCCCATCCTAAACCCTTATCGTATTCCCTTTCAAGTGGTATATAGTCGTAATGACTTGGAGCTCTCTCCTGATAATTCCTCTCCTGGAGCTGGAGGAACTTGAAAAACTGTAACAAACAACTTTGTACCCTGTATGTAACCAAGTGTGATGTTCCTTTTGTGTAATAAAAAGTATGAATATACTAGAAGGGAGGTACCCGGCAGTGCCCAGGATACATACACGGTACTGTACCCACCTCACCATCAGACGATCACTGGGGGTTGTTACCTGGTTGATGGGGTTCTGGGAGTTCTTCTACTCCCCAAGCCCGGCCCGAGGCCAGACTTGACTTGTGAGAGTTTGGTCCACAAAATTAATGGAACAATTACAGGGAGAAGCAACAGAAGCACATGGAATTTCAGCGAGATTAATATTTATTAGAAAGTACACCCGTGTGGAGACTGCCTGTGAAGTCATCGAATCCCAATGGCTGGAAAAGAGGGTAACAAAGGGAATGTCTTAATGCAACATATCAGAAAATGAGGATTAGTCAATTCGAACAGAAGACGGCGAGGCAAATCTCGTTTTCTGATTGTCAAAACCGTATATACATATATCGTTAGGTTAGAATGTATGATTATAGTTTAGGCTGTGATAGGCTGCGTTGGGATAGGCTGGGTAGGGATAGGCTGGGTTGGGATAGGCTGGGTTGGGATAGGCTGGGTTGGGATAGGCTGGGTTGGGATAGGCTGGGTTGGGTTAGGCTAGGATAGTTATGTTTTAAAATCTGTTGGAGAACCATCATGTCTAAAAGGTTACTTGTATTCCAGAAAGACACTGAGATGAAGGGTGTGACCCAGACACCCAGCATCACAGATGAAGGGTGTGACCCAGACACCCAGCATCACAGATGAAGGGGTGTGACCCAGACACCCAGCATCACAGATGAAGGGGTGTGACCCAGACACCCAGCATCACAGATGAAGGGTGTGACCCAGACACCCAGCATCACAGATGAAGGGGTGTGACCCAGACACCCAGCATCACAGATGAAGGGGTGTGACCCAGACACCCAGCATCACAGATGAAGGGGGTGACCCAGACACCCAGCATCACAGATGAAGGGGTGTGACCCAGACACCCAGCATCACAGATGAAGGGGTGTGACCCAGACACCCAGCATCACAGATGAAGGGGTGTGACCCAGACACCCAGCATCACAGATGAAGGGGTGTGACCCAGACACCCAGCATCACAGATGAAGGGGTGTGACCCAGACACCCAGCATCACAGATGAAGGGTGTGACCCAGACACCCAGCATCACAGATGAAGGGGTGTGACCCAGACACCCAGCATCACAGATGAAGGGTGTGACCCAGACACCCAGCATCACAGATGAAGGGTGTGACCCAGACACCCAGCATCACAGATGAAGGGGTGACCCAGACACCCAGCATCACAGATGAAGGGTGTGACCCAGACACCCAGCATCACAGATGAAGGGGATGCCCCCAGACACCCAGCATCACAGATGAAGGGTGTGACCCAGACACCCAGCATCACAGATGAAGGGTGTGACCCAGACACCCAGCATCACAGATGAAGGGTGTGACCCAGACACCCAGCATCACAGATGAAGGGTGTGACCCAGACACCCAGCATCACAGATGAAGGGGTGTGACCCAGACACCCAGCATCACAGATGAAGGGTGTGACCCAGACACCCAGCATCACAGATGAAGGGGTGTGACCCAGACACCCAGCATCACAGATGAAGGGGATGCCCCCAGACACCCAGCATCACAGATGAAGGGTGTGACCCAGACACCCAGCATCACAGATGAAGGGGATGCCCCCAGACACCCAGCATCACAGATGAAGGGAGTGCCCCAGACACCCAGCATCACAGATGAAGGGAGTGCCCCAGACACCCAGCATCACAGATGAAGGGGTGTGACCCAGACACCCAGCATCACAGATGAAGGGGATGCCCCCAGACACCCAGCATCACAGATGAAGGGGATGCCCCCAGACACCCAGCATCACAGATGAAGGGTGTGACCCAGACACCCAGCATCACAGATGAAGGGAGTGCCCCAGACACCCAGCATCACAGATGAAGGGGGTGACCCAGACACCCAGCATCACAGATGAAGGGGATGCCCCCAGACACCCAGCATCACAGATGAAGGGTGTGACCCAGACACCCAGCATCACAGATGAAGGGTGTGACCCAGACACCCAGCATCACAGATGAAGGGGATGCCCCCAGACACCCAGCATCACAGATGAAGGGAGTGACCCAGACACCCAGCATCATAGATGAAGGGTGTGACCCAGACACCCAGCATCACAAATGAAGGGTGTGACCCAGACACCCAGCATCACAGATGAAGGGTGTGACCCAGACACCCAGCATCTCAGATGAAGGGTGTGACCCAGACACCCAGCATCACAGATGAAGGGTGTGACCCAGACACCCAGCATCACAGATGAAGGGTGTGACCCAGACACCCAGCATCACAGATGAAGGGGTGTGACCCAGACACCCAGCATCACAGATGAAGGGTGTGACCCAGACACCCAGCATCACAGATGAAGGGTGTGACCCAGACACCCAGCATCACAGATGAAGGGTGTGACCCAGACACCCAGCATCATAGATGAAGGGTGTGACCCAGACACCCAGCATCACAGATGAAGGGTGTGACCCAGACACCCAGCATCACAGATGAAGGGGATGCCCCCAGACACCCAGCATCACAGATGAAGGGTGTGACCCAGACACCCAGCATCACAGATGAAGGGTGTGACCCAGACACCCAGCATCACAGATGAAGGGTGTGACCCAGACACCCAGCATCACAGATGAAGGGGGTGCCCCAGACACCCAGCATCACAGATGAAGGGTGTGACCCAGACACCCAGCATCACAGATGAAGGGGGTGACCCAGACACCCAGCATCACAGATGAAGGGTGTGACCCAGACACCCAGCATCACAGATGAAGGGTGTGACCCAGACACCCAGCATCACAGATGAAGGGGATGCCCCAGACACCCAGCATCACAGATGAAGGGTGTGACCCAGACACCCAGCATCACAGATGAAGGGTGTGACCCAGACACCCAGCATCACAGATGAAGGGGATGCCCCAGACACCCAGCATCACAGATGAAGGGTGTGACCCAGACACCCAGCATCACAGATGAAGGGTGTGACCCAGACACCCAGCATCACAGACAGTTGAGGAAATAAGAAAATTATCAAAAGTAAACACTAAGCCACACAGTGGGGGGGGGGGATTCTTATAAACATTAAGGCGGTTAAGAAAGGAGCGGCTCTATTAACTCCACTATCTGTCAGTCACGGTAACATCTGATAGTAACGCCGCCAGCTGGCAATAGTATCAACAGGTAGGCACCTCCACCAGTCCGTTAGTAACACCACAAACTATCCCTAACTTAACAAAGCTACCAGCTGGTATTAACACAACCAGCAGGTCGTATCAAATGTGAGTAACCTAGCGCCACCAACTAAGAGTAACTCCATTATCGTTTGTGGTGACATGAGCCAGGGTGGTAGACCGGGTTACCTCGACGAGCTAAGACGACTTCGTGAAGCAAGACGATGGTCAGAGCGATGCCCTTATAACACCACCTACACTTACAGCATAAACGGGGCAGGCAACGGAAGGAAAGACTTACCTCACGAAAATCATAAATGGGCTCCCGAGTGTCGGGGTGGTGGGTGGGGGGCTGCGTGGGGCGGTGTGGGTCCAAGCATGCTGGGAGGGGCCCACACCCACTCCGTAGTAAATAATGGGTCCCTTCCAACACTCACTACACTGATGATGGGCTCAGTATTCTCTCTCGCGACACTTGGGTACACTGCACCACACACACTGCTGCGTCTTACTAAAATCCACTTGAGATCATTTTACAACATGGCACTGAGAACGGAACTGGTACAAATCCTTGCCAAAATAACGAGTTGAGGTAGTTGTGGTGTTGTGAAATATTTATGTGCTTTGTAATTTCCCCAGTTTAGCCTTGCTCACTTTCCTACAGCCTTATCAAGTATGGCGGGGCGAGCGCTCAAGCGGCCGCTGACACATAACTCCACTGGTCGGTGGGGGCCCCAGGAGTCACCATTGATCACGCCACACGCAGTGATGTGGCCAGTACTCAAGCACTCCTCCGGCGCGTGTGGTGTGTTGGGTGGCGTTGACGGGTTGGCGGGCAGACGCCGGCAGGCAGCAGCAGGCAGACACTAGCAGCAGCCAGGAGGACGCCGGCACTGGCAGGTGTAGTCACCTGCTCTTCACCTGCCCACCGGCCTCCTGCTGCAGGGTCGGAGGGCGGCATGTTGAGAGCGGCGGCGCCTGTGACAGGTGGTGTATGCAGCGAGGCGCACCACCGCCGCACGCGCCTCCCCTCACTACTACAACTCCTGCTGGTGTACACGCTGTGTGTAACTCTCGTCTGTCTCAGTATGCGGGGGTGGATCGATGTTGGTCTTGTCACGCCATCATCGCTGCTGCTGCCAGCCGCCAGCCTCACCACCTCCAGAGTGCTGCTGCGGCCCCCGAGCACCAGTGGAGGTGGTGCTGGTGCTCGACCAGTGTGTGGAGAAGGGGGCGGCGCACCACAGCGGGGTGGCGGCAGGGATCAGGGGGCGGTGGAAGGGTCAGGAAGATCACGCGGCGGCACACACACTCACACACTCCGCTGGACACACCGTCAGGAAGGGAGAGTGTCAGTGTTGTCCGGGGCGTGAGCTACCCCACACGCGGGCTCCGGCCACTCACTCACGCACGCACTGCGCCCCGCCTCGCCCCGCCACCCCACACCCTCCACCACGCACACCAACACTCCAACCCCGCGCACCCCCCACCTCCGCCACCTCATCTCCCTGCCCACCCTCATCCTGCCCACCTGCCCCTCTCCCACACAACCCACTACACAATACTACTCTTCTACAATACACACATACACATACGAGCATAGTTTTTACCGCACGTCAACACGCAGGATAGCATGCACGCCACCCCGTGTAAGGCACGATAACCATCACATCTGCTGCTCTTGTCGCTCTCCACACTGCCATTCCTCCCCACCCACAACTGTCAATGGATACGCTAAGATCTCTTTATAGTACTCTTCTGGGGGGAGGGGTCTAGTAATTAATAGTGAGAATAAATGCTAACTTGGGCCGTCTCAGTACGCAGCCTGGAGCGCATGCGCAGTGCGGCGGCGGAGCAGCGCGGGGTCGATACCAGGCGACTGTGAGCGTTCACCCGGGAGACAGGTCGGAGCTTTCACGCGGCGCGACCTGTTTGACACTGTTGTAGTGGACGGGACGACCACAGAGCCCCCAGCAGTGTCGTCACGCTGTCTCGGCTGGTGCTAAGACCCAGCAGGAGGCCTGCCTGGGCCCCCTCACGCACCTGCTCCACATGATCCGACACCACCTCCCATCCCCCTCACCTGCGCTAAAATCCTAGTATTAATCCTAATAAAATTGTACAGTACTCCCTCTGCAAGTTAAACAAAAGGCCTTCAATGTGGTGGTTATAAACCTGGCAGCATAGGCCTACAACCGACCGCCCCTAATCATCCCTGATAAGCTAGGCCTATCAACACAAGTCACAATTAGACTTTTGCTTCCGTCAAAATAGTCAAGAAAGTGCCATGTTACCGTTATCTGGAGATATTCCTCAGCACCAAACGCCTTCAGAAATTTTAAGTCAGCAGAAATTCCTTAGTACTCACAGTGTCAGCGCCAGCAGTACTGACAGCGTTAGTACCTTCAACATCAATGTATTAAGGGGCGTCAGCACCAACAACGCTTGCAGTGTCAGCAATAAAGTATACTGGCGGTGTTAGCATTTTCAGCATTTACAGTATTGGTGGTGTTGGCATTTATAATACTGACGGTGACAGTACCAAACAATTCCTCCAGTACAAGAAGAGTCATCACCTACAACGACTGCAGAATTAGCTGTGCCGCTCACAGGATGGGGTATGGGGTCCACTGCCGCTCACAGGATGGGGTATGGGGTCCACTGCCGCTCACAGGATGGGGTATGGGGTCCACTGCCGCTCACAGGATGGGTATGGTGTCCACAGGACCCCATACCCATTCTGTGAGGATGGTCCACAGAATGGGTATGGGATCACCTGCCGCTCACAGGATGGGTATGGGATCCGCTCCCGCTCACATGATGGGTATAGGATCCACTGCCGCTCACAGGATAAATATGGTATCCACTGCCGCTCACAGGATGAGTATACGGGATCCACTGCCGCTCACAGGATGGGTATGGGACCAACTGCCGCTCACAGGATGGATATGGGATCCACTGCCGTTCACAGGATGGATATGGGATCCACTGCCGCTCACAGGATGAGTATATGGGATCCACTGCCGCTCACAGGATGGGTATATGGGATCCACTGCCGCTTACAGGATGGGTATGGGATCCACTGCCGCTCACAGGATGGGTATGGGACCTACTGCCGCTCACAAGATGGATATAGGGTGCATTATAAACTAATCTAAAATATAACATATACCCCTTCCGTATCCTGGAGGATTTAATACTGTCCCCGGTGGATTTAGTATTGTCCAGGTGGATTTAGTACTCCAATTTTCTAGCCGGTGGCTTTGTTTCTCTCATTTCAGCATTTGTTGACATTTCAAAGTTTGCTCACCTTCCAGCTCCCATTCTTTCGTTGCAACAAATTTTTATCGTCAATATATTCAACAACAGGGAAGAAAGTTTATCTTCTTATCGGGAGGAAAACAATGAATTGTGAAGTTATTTTATTTTATTTTTAAGTTTAGGGGTCCTTTGGAGATAGCATATAGAATATTCCTGACGTACAACCAGGGAAGGATATTCCTGACGTACAACCAGGGGAGGATATTCCTGGCGCACAACCAGGGGAGGATATTCCTGGCGTACAACCAGGGGAGGATATTCCTGGCGCACAACCAGGGGAGGATATTCCTGGCGCACAACCAGGGGAGGATATTCCTGGCGTACAACCGGGGGAGGATATTCCTGGCGTACAACCAGGGGAGGATATTCATGGCATACAACCAGGGGAGGATATTCCTGGCGTACAACCAGGGGAGGATATTCCTGGTGTACAACCAGGGGAGGATATTCATGGCATACAACCAGGGGAGGATATTCCTGACGTACAACCAGGGGAGGATATTCCTGACGTACAACCAGGGAAGGATATTCCTGGTGTACAACCAGGGGAGGATATTCCTGGCGCACAACCAGGGGAGGATATTCCTGGCGTACAACCAGGGGAGGATATTCCTGGTGTACAACCAGGGGAGGATATTCCTGGCACACAACCAGGGGAGGATATTCCTGGTGTACAACCAGGGGAGGATATTCCTGGTGTACAACCAGGGGAGGATATTCCTGGCGTACAACCAGTTAAAAATGTTTCACCTGGGAACCCATGTATACAAAAGGCAACGGCGATACTCTTAACAGAGCACGCGGAACCAATCATTTAAATTATGATGCGCCGTTCCTAGCTGATCCAATGCATTCAAGACAAACCTGATATTAAAACTATCAAAAGTTGTGGACCCGTCCGGGTGAAGGCAAGGAAATGTGGCGAGGGAGAGCGGAAGGTGATGAGGGAGAGAGAGACAGAGGAGGGCCTGACGATGCGATGTGTAGTCAAGATGGTTACAGCCATGAAGCTATAGTGAGTATAGTGAAGATGTGGCGTCCGAACACCCGGCGTTGTCATGAAAAAAAAAGTGAGTTAAGTGCAGGCGGGGCGGCAGCCATATACGTGTACGGACCGTAAAGTTCCACCAGGTGTCACAGATGAGGTGGTATATGTGCATCACGTTCACCACTTCCTTTCTTTCTCCGCGCATTTCTCTGTCCATCAACTCTGGTACAGGTTAATCTTCGTCTCATCTGTCCATAAAACTGTTCCAAAAGATTGTTATGAACTTTGCAGGACACCGTAACCTGTGTTTCAGAGACTCACCAGTGTTTTGTATCCTGTGTTGAACTCTCAGGTTATGTAGGTGTTGTCTTCCCTTTATGGTGATGTTAATGGGTAACAGCTTCTCCCCCGAATCAACCTACCCTGGCTTTGCGCCCTGGTGAGGCCACTCCAGACCGACAACCAGAGCGCAACTCCATAGTCTCCTGAGACTGATGGATGCTTACTACTAATGCGTCTGTTATCTTTGAGTGTGTTCTTCATCTGTTCAACAGTTGGAAAGTTCTTCACTGTTGAAAGAGCAGCCCACTGTATTGCTCGGTCATGCAATACAGTGGGCTACTGTGGTCTACCAGGTCGTTTGTTGTTGAATTCACCAGTGTCTTCTTAATTCTTAATAATGTACCAGATGATTTTAACATAATCTTAACAATTAATCTCTCAAGATTGATTTATTCAGATTTAAAAGCGTCCTGGTGGCGTGGCTTTTCTGGGACTGACAAGTCTTTGGTCATCATGTTGAGAGTCAAGAGACTTCAGACCTCAACTGCAAGAGTCACACCCAGAATCAACTCTAGACTATTTGTGACAATTTCTTTTAATCTCGAACAATGGGTAAACATGAATTAAAAAAAAACAGCATTTCCAACACAGTTCGCGTTATATACATGTAAATACCCTCAAATCAAAGCTGAAACTCTACATTTTTAACTTCATAGTCTTTATAAAAAAAAACTGAGTTACGGATCGCATTGTATATGGTAAATGACAGATGTCCCTGTACTGAGAAACCTGTTCACTTGTACACAGGTTTCCCATGTGGATAACAATCAATGCTTTTTTTCTGTTAAAATAACCGAGCCACTATTCAACTTATACATTATCCAAATATACCACGAGATTGTACCTTTTCTGATAACGGAGGAATGAGACAACGACAGCATTGGGAACGATTTTATTTAATTTTTTAGTAGAAACAAATAAATAAATTTTTCAGACCATGTTAATGAACAGGTAACTTGTTGAAGTTTACAACAGCATAAATACATGTATAACTTGACTACAATGACTTAATAACATTAATACATATGCTTATATCCGGTAACTAAATAGAACATGGTCTGCAGAACGCGGAATCCTTATTAACTATTGGTACAAGTAAGGCAAACGTTTACATAATTTTCAAGTAGAATCAGGGCTTATAGAGTATCATATAGTGGCCTAACACATGACAGAAATAATGCGCCAATCCCAGACATAATGTGAAATGGTAAATTACTAGTAGCTGTAGAATACACCTATAGGACAAATTTAACAATACTCTTACAAGTGAGAGTAAGTAGCTGCGGACAGCGTAATACTTAGGGGCCGGCGCTGCACCCCCCCCCCCCCCCCAGTTTACCAACAATAAAGGACAAAGTACATAGCTATAGGACTGTGCGTAGGGTTATTTGCCGCTGACCATTGGAAGGGGAGGAGGGTGGGAAAATTTTTTCCTTTGACTTGTGGAGCTGAGCGAGGCTGGAGCAAGAGAGAACGCATGTCCCCTCCTCTCTTCTTATATAGTCCCCCCGCGACGCTCCGCACGCTGCGCTGCGGATCGCGCTGTGCAATTGTCTTCTCCTCCATCAGAAATTCCTCCGCATTCCTACGTAATGCAGCGGTTATTTTTAGTCTGTGTTTCGTTAGACACAGAATCAGACTTTGCTAAAGAAAATATACAGTGTTTCTTTGTTAAATGTACTTGTGCTGCTTTTTCAGCCATGTTCCCCCCTTTTTTATCTCTTTTTTTTATTTGTTCTCAACTCATTTTATTCTTTATG